CGCCCTAAAAATACAGTTTAGATATCCTATAAAGAGATCTGGATTTTAGCTCAGTAATCAGATTTCTCAGTGCATGTGAACTCTTACTCTGATTTCTTTCGGATTTCTCAGACTGCGCATGTGCGAAAATGTACCAGAAATAAGCAAGCAGCGTTACTATAAGATGGCAGCAAAACACTTTGGAGCGACGCTGAAAACAACTACATGCTTGACGAAATGAAGGATTTACATATTCTTCATCTTCTAGATGATATATGTTCATATTTTCAGGTAAAGCGGTGTGATGTTTTTTAAAAAAGCTGCGGCATGAAGTTTGAGTTTTGCATTCCATTTACGTCACGTCTTATTCTGTGAGTTTATAGGACGGTTGCAAAGCAGAAATTCGATTACTGCCTGACTCATGTAGACCTGGAGTTTCCCATTATCTGATTACCCAAGTGCATGTAAACGCGTTGATCAGATTACTGACAAAATCAGATTTTCTGCAGTTATCAAATTATTAAGTGCATGTAAATGCACTCTTTGATTCACAAGTGTCTTTTTGATGTATTGCAAGTAGGGATGCACTGAAATTTTAGCCACCAAAAATTTTCGGCCATAAATGGTAAAAAAGGCACTTTCAGGTTTTGACCAGAAGAGAAATATACAGAAAATGTTGTCCTGAAAAACAAAGAATAAATGGACCAGCAATTGTCAAATTTAAGCCTTAACAAATAAATTTAATAGTAATGAAAACGACAAATAGTAAGTAACAACACTGTTTCCTTCGATTTCTCGTGCCAGTCCGCAGACGCGTTCAAACAGTTTGAGCAGCAGCAGACAAACTGTGAAAATATCTGCCATTGGAACTATTTCACAGTTTCTCCCTCAGATATTAGACAGGTGATTTGTAATCACTGTTTATGCAGAGTATCAAAAGGAGGTACTTCCTCACTACAGGTTTGACAAGATATGCAGAAAACAGCAAAACAGAAGCAGAAAGGAAGGTCCCAGCTATCATGCTGACACCATCTGTGGCCTCAGCTTTTGAAATGAAGGAAAAATTCACAAACGAAAGTACCAAAGTGCAAAGTATAGTTGAGCCCCAAGGAAAAATCATATATTAATCATTCAACCTTTTTTGATTGTTTTTTTTGTTTTCTATTTTATTTTATACAACATTTCACATTATAAAGCCAAACTATACTTTATTTACATTTTAAAGACGTATTTATTTTAAATACAGGACATCAAACAATGTCATACCATGCTTATATGATTTTTACAAAAAAAAAGTCACATACTGTTTTTCATTTCAAAGACTCAGTTAACAAAATGATGGAATTCATTGACTTGGATGACCAATCATCCTCTGTTGTTGAGGATGTTGCATGTTGCACACACTAGCCTACATACTATAATAATTTAAGTGAGTTTATTTTATGTATTATGTATTTATTCATTGTCAGCTTTTTTTCAGTTTTCAATTTCATTTTTTTTTTTTGCCATACTGTGTCCTAAATTTCAGCTTCGGCTAAGGATTTTCATTTCAGTGCATCACTAATTGCAAGAGGTATCAGAGTATTTCTACACTACAGCAGTGTAATTGCAATACTAGCATTCTTTACATGTCATGCAGCCCATGAAACAAGCAACTTACAATGGCAAGAATTGCTCTTACGCAGATTGATGATACATTGATGTCTAGCAACTGTTTTTGTCCTGTTTGAAAGATGTTTTTTTTCCTTCTGTTCACCAAAAGCAGGAAAACCACAAAATGACTTGGATATTCCAATAAGACAAAGCAAACTTCCATACTGCTCATTAAGCAAGGGAGTGGTTCACAGGAAATTCACATGATGACAGTGCCAGGATGATCATTAGATTTAACAGGGGAACTTCTGATACTACGTTGGGAAATATGTGGAGAAGAAAAATCCAACCACCATGGATGATCTGAGCAGCAGCGGTGAAAAATGTGTAGAAAGCAGTTCCTTCAGATCATTTAACAGTAGTGTAAGTATGAGGTAGAGAGGTGTCATCAAGGCTAGAGGAGGATCCGCATCATCCTAATTAACACTATCATGATCAGACGTTAAATTGTCTGTCTGCTAACTACCCGGAAAACAGTGGCTGAGTTATTCTTCAATTACAGGAGTGAGGCACAGAAGTCTCAACCCACTTCTGGCCATTAAAGGGGTAAGATAGATAGATAGACAGCCATGCCAATTTATGTGTTAACATTAGACTAGCTTGGATTTTTTCTTGCATACTTTCAATTTTGCTTTCAGTCCCTTGTGCTTGCTCTTTATTTGATTGTAACCTATAGAGGCCTTGCCTTTGATAAACAGTATTTCTACAGTTTGGTTTACATTCCAGACAATTTCAGACTGTTTTCCTTGTTTACACGTCAACCTTCAACTTCTTCAACCTGTTTGTAAAGCTAATGACATCAGAGATAGAGATAGAGATAGAGATAGAGAGAGAGAGAGAGAGAGAGAGAGAGAGAGAGAGAGAGAGAAAGAGAGAGAGAGAGTGGAGAAGGAGAAATGGAGAGATATAAAGAGCCAGAGATACAGAAAAAGAGAGAGAGAGGAAAGAACATCTACATATTTGTCATGCTGCTACATGCTGTACCTTCTACACGAGACAGAAAGAGAGAGAGCGAGAGAGAGAGAGAATGAGCAAACGAGACAGCAGTAGGGAGGGAGCGTTCGACCTCAGGGCTTTTGTTTGGGATGTATTTTTGGTACACGAAGCCCCCTCAAGTGCAAGCCTATCCTCGTAGAAACATGTGACATGCATTCGTAATGAGCAGAAAGGGACGAGCTAACAGAACAGGGCCTGTGTGCAACACGCGGCCTTCTGATGTCATACTTGCATGACAAGAGAGCTAAATGATGGCGGTACAGTATCACGCAGCAGCTCATTGCCGCCGATCAAGGGTTGCGATAAGCTCTCATTTAGGATTCCTTTCTATTATTGTAGCGTGCCTCTTCATCTTCACCAGCGATCTGGAATCGACTGCTTATCTGCGCTCTCAGGCATAGTGCTCTCTGTTTGAACTTGTAAAGCATGAACATCAGCTCGGGGAGGCAGGCCAGGCCGCATCCGATACAAATACATCAAGTGGGACAATGCAGGCCTACCTCGTTTAGGGACGCACAAGGCCCTAATTGTGATTTATGTGGTGATTAGGAGTGGAACAAAGTAGAAAGTGTAGATTCACCCGGTGATTACAGTTACACACGTTGCTCACCAATGGGAGTGTGAAGTGTTACGCCCAAGATTTACTGACTCACAGCATGTGCAGCTCCATATTCAGAAAGGTGGAGGGAGCTGTAGGCTTTAAAAGTCTACTAAGGCTTCGTTTAGACAGACTTTTTTCATGTATCTGATCTTCTTCTTGAAGTCGCAACAGCAAGACAATTGCATCTAACTAAAACTTTTTAGGTCTGTTTTGGAACATGACCATACCCTAACACAATCCCCTCAGCAAACCATTGCATGTGTATTGAGTGGCTGAAGCTCCTACATATGATGAATAAGGGTGTTTTGAGGTTTCAAAACATATTTAAAATAGAATAGTCAGGTAATAGTAAGAAATAGGGCTGCACAATATATAATTTGGTAATTGCACTCACAACACTGGCCTGCGATATAAAAGTTTAACCAATCACATTTTTACTGTGTACTCTGAGCTTCTGACCAATCATAGTTAGATTCTGTTTTCATGTTTTCATTAATCATCCAGTCATAATCAGATTTCTGCAGTTATCTGATTATTAGAATGGTCATGTACACAGCATACTCCAATTTAGGTTAGGTCTAGAAATCCGATTAAGAAATCCAATAAAGCGAGCTGGATTTTAGCTCAGTAATCAGATTTCTCAGTGCATGTGAACTCTTACTCTGATTTCTTTCGGATTTCTCAGTCTGCACATGTGCGAAACAGACAGCGGCAGAAATAAGCAGGCAGCGTTGCCGCGAGACGGCAGCAAAAGACTTTTGGAGCATCTCTGAAACCAACTACATTCTTGACTAAATGAAGGATTAACATATTCTTCATCTTCTAGATGATGTATGTTCATATTTTCAGGTAAAGTGGTGCGATATTAAAAAAAAAAAGCCGTGGTATGAAGTTTAAGTCTGCCTGACTCATGTAGACACAGAGTTTCCCATTATCTGATTAGTTAAGTGCATGTAAACGTGTTGATTGTATTACTGACAAAATCTGATTTTCTGCAATTATCGGATTATTAAGTGCATGTAAACGCATTCAGTGTTCTCTTACTACAATACCCAGCATACACTGCACAGATACACTATACAATGTTTGGGAATCCTTGTGGTGTCAACCAAGCCCACCTGTGATTTGTGTAACTCTTTTGTCTTTCACTCTTTCCTTATTCAGCACAAAGTGGAGTCTGTAATGTATTAGCTAGTTAGCTACCTTACTAACATTTAGTTTGTGGTCCTCTTCATCTAACAAGTCATTTCTGTTGTTTGAGTAATCCATACTCTCCATTATAATTATGATTTGTTATCACAGATATACAGTTGCAGTCAGTTGTTCAGCTTCCTAGCAGTTAACTTAAGAGGAGGCTGTTGAAACATATAGATTTTTTTTGCAGAAATCAGTGCTCAGTGGTGTCCATGTTCTCAAAAAATGCTTTTCTTGTCTTCACTGGTTGGAGTGCAACAGAGGTTATGTGATGGGCCATTAAATTAGCAACATAAATTCAAAGATTCTGGTTACCGTAGGTTCTGAAGATGTATTTTATTAGAATTACAGCAGTTTTGTACTGGTGGTTTATGTTTATGTGGAAGAAATCATTCCCATATTAAGTGTTGGATGCTGGAACAGAATAAAATGTGGACTGGCTGGAGATGATCAAGGACTGGGTTGGAAATCTGCTTTAGGTTAAAGTTCTCTCAACCACAAACCAATATAGCCTCCAGCAGGGAACCACTACGCTGATGAGATCGCAACTTAATGGTTTTTTTTTATCTTTCTGTAGTGACCTCAGCATGAACAACATCACAGAGCTGCCTGCCAATGTGTTCAAAAACCTGCCGTACCTGGAGGAACTGTAAGTCATCATCTTGCATTTGTTTCAATTGTTTTTCCTTCTTCTCTTTCTTCTCTTCCTCTTTCCCATTGCTCCTATTGTAATCAATGTACTTTGTCTTAACAAAGGAAATCATTTCCTTCTGCTGCCTGACAGGCTCGATTATCGGTTTGACATTAGCGTAATAGAAGAGCTCATCTTCTACCAAATAAGTGATTTTTAAATGCAGCTTTTCTGAGTAAACCCAAATTTGTGAAATTTACCAGGCCATCCGTCTTAATAGGACCATGTGGCTTTGGCCTGCCTAAAGATCCACTATATCTGGTATTAAAATATCCATATTATAATATTTCATGTTATAGGCATGCATTACATTGAATTTGTAAGAAAGCACACCTGATTTCACACCATTCCAGCAATTTACCACAAGGGAAATACCATATTAACACAAGCCAATGACAATGTGAAACAACTAGAACCTGCTTTGAAAATTCTAATTAGATGTTTTTCAGATGAAATTAACAACATACTCCACTTATCATATTGTGTATTTTGTCTTCTGTGTCAGGATATGTATTTTACAGGATTGTGCAAAAGTCAAAGACCCTTCATTCTTCAAATTTCTAGTTAAAATGGCACATTTCTGCAGATTAGTAAATAAGTAAAATAAAAGATAAAAGTTTACAAGTTGAAAAAAACAGATGTTTCTAAAACTGAAGAGCTCAAAAAATATTAAAAGATTTAAACATGTAGAGAAACTGGGCCTCCTAACCATGCCAGACGTGGTAGACCACCAAAACTGTCACCATCAGATAAACAGTACTTAATGCTTTTATCTTTGAGAGAGAGGAGAAGATGAAGCTCCACTCTTCCTTCAGATCTTAAAAAATCCACAGGTGTTTCTGTTTATCCTTCCACTGTGAGTCTGAAAGGACGCATAGCTTTTGAGAAGTGGTTTCTGAGTAAAGAAAACAGACAAAAAAAAAAAAAGAAAATTTGCAAATTAAACAGTGAAGCTGTTCTCAGAATAATGGACTGACCGGCCTAGAGTCCAGACCTCAGCATCACTGAATGTGTTTGGGATTACTTGGATCATTAGAAGCAGAAAATGCAACCACCTTCTAAGACTGAACTTCAGAGGTGTGGAAAAAAATCCTTTCAGATTTTTTTTGACAAACTGAAAGCAAGTGTCTCAAAAAGAATGGAAGGTGTAATAGAGGCAGAGTGGACCCACTGAATATGTCAATTTCACGCCAAACTGCCAAATTTAGAATTAGTAGATTGTCCCACTAAACTGTCCCACTAAATTAAATCAGATGTACATTGGATTTTTCCTGTTTTATCATTAATGACATTGTATCTTTGTCTCCCATATAAGAATATCTATTTTATAATAATTATTATGACACATGATTGCTGCCGTTAGCTTTTGTGTATATTATGTTTTACTAAATCTGTTTTAGTATCTAATTTACCTTCAATTTAATTCCAAACTGACCTTCCTAGGTTTGCTGCCACAAAAAGTTCAGCTAGGGCCAACAACGTTGGTCAACACCACTTATCTTCTGTTTAAAACCCAATGTGTACGTTATTACTCATGTCCTACAAGACCAGTTTGCACTGGTTTTCTTTGGCAAGGCTTGGTGTGAGCCATATCTTACTGGCTGCTAGAAGTTTTAATGTGTCCAGCAGCTCAACATGGGTGCAGCATGCACTCGTGAGCCTAAAAACCGCACGCCCTAGGCGTGTCTAATCTTCCAGCGTGTATTTGTCTTTTCTCCGCGCTCTCCATCGCTCCGCGTCTGGCCGTCTGCGCTGTGCGGGAAGCGCAGATAACATCAGTCTACCTGATATCAGGTACCTCCACTCTGCTCACAGACGCCCCTGATGACCAGCTCCTAAAAGCCGCCCCATTGTTATTCTTGCCTTTCTTCTCTCCTCTTCTTTTTCTTTCGGCCAGGGAGTGTGTTTTCTTACCCCGTGCACGTCTTTCAGCCGCCCCAATCTCTGCTCCCGTCTTTCCCAAACACAGCCTTCCAGAGCTTTGTCAGAGGGCAATTTACTTTTCAGCGCATTGTGCCGAGGAATGCGAGGCAGGAAGGAAGAGGGCAAAACAATGGTTTCCGTGGCAACTGGCATTTAGGAGAACGGGTCTTGTCTGGAGGGCAATCGAAGGGGCCCGGGGCCCTCAGGAGCCACAAACATATAGTATTGTGCAAAAGTCTTATTTTGAGCCTTTTGTTTGAGCAGTAAGTGTTTAAGTGCTTAGAAAAACTCTAATATTAGAATAAATGAATGCTGCCACAATTTCAAGAAGACTTAAATCTAGAGGTGTAAATCTGTATCACCAAAAAGTTGTTAGACTTGATCAGGTTATCATAGTATTTTGAAGAATTTTGAAAGTTAGTGTTCAGTTATTTGGCTATTATTCAGTTATTGTTATTGTTCTTCCTTCATTAAATTAAATCTGGTATGCTGGTGATGTAATTTAACCCACTGTCCAAAGAACACAAGTATCTCCAAAATAGTAACTTCACAGGAGAGGGCAAAAACGTTCTTAACTTTGATATAAGTTGACGTAAGGAGATTTTATCCTAATTTTGGAGCATTTCTATTGGTACATTCATCATTAAGTTTTCACACAACATAAAAGACAGCTGCTGCATTCAAATGATTTAGAAAAATCAGCATAAATGGAGATTTTTTTGTCATTGTTTTTTGGACAGTGTTGAAGTCCATGTGATGGCTGGAGTGCAGTGAGAAGTCAGGAACCAAACCTGTGTTTTTCTAACTAAGATACTTCTAACTTTTTTTGGAAACAAGCTTTTAATTTTATTGTGATAAAAATTCTTATTTGTGATTATTATTGTCTTGTATTCTGTTTTCACAATGAAAAACACGCTTACTAAATAATTGAAACCATTTTCATGGCCAAGACTTTTGCACACTGCTGTACATTTGTAGGTATGTCCAGTGATTACTCGCTAATCAGAGGGTTGTGGGTTCACATCCTGCAAGTGATTTTGTATATGCTGAAGGAGATGAACTGGATTACAGGTAGAAATTGGAAAACAAGAGAAAGTGTTACCTTAAGAGTAATTCCACACTGCACATATTTTACCCCCTTATTGTGATGTCAGCTCAAACCTTCAAATGTTTAAAACCTGCTTCATCATAGCTAGAAAGACACTTTGATGAACATGAAGCTGAGTGATCATCAAAATGTACTCATCAATGAATAGGTTGTTTCATGTTGAGACTCCTTTGCAGGTATTTTGTAAGTTGACAGTGAAAATCAATGCATAATTAGAAATTTTCAAAAGAAGGCGATTAGTCCCCAAACATTTGACCAGCAGTGCACATTAGTAATGAAGTATGATTGGAATGGAGGAAAAGAGTGTATGTACTTAACCGTGGAACAAGTATGATACCAGTGAGATTTGCCATGATTTGTCCCTAGACAACCCCCATAGTGTGGTCCCATCAGTGAGATTCGAACACAATGTAAAAAAAAGTGTGCACTAAGCATGCAGGAAAAATATACATACATTTTTTATATATATATATATATATATATATATATATATATATATATATATATGTATATATATATATATATATATATATATATATATATATATATATACGTGTGTGTGTGTATGTGTGTGTGTATATATATATATATATATATATACACACACACACACATGCGCACACACACACACACAGGATGCATGAGCTGATCATCACGCATAGTCTTGACTCCTCATAGCATTCTATAGATGACATGGTGGCTGTAGCAGTTGCATTCTGGAAATGCAGCCATGTGCATGCTAAAGGAACTCTGGGTGGCCTATTGGAGATTACACTCAGAACTCACTTGCGAAAGGGTTAAGGACCAACTCCTGCAAGTGATTTGTCTGTTATTGCTAGCCATTAGTCTCACAATTATGTTATTACACTGCAGTGTTGTGTGTGTGTGTGTGTGTGTGTGTGTGTGCGCGCATGTGTGTGGCCTCAGGGTGACTGTGACCCGTGGCTGGTGTCCTCCAGGCACACTTAGGAAGAGGGAGGGACACACCCGCAGCAGAGAGGAACATTCTCTACCTCACAGTCACGCAATCCTCACACACACACACACTCACCTCCCACTCTCAGCACATTCAGTCTGACACATATAAAGCTGTCAGGTACTAATCCTCACAGATCTGTGTGTGTCTACCAGTAGATCAGTGAGATTGTCTGTGTATTTGTGTGCATGTGTTTGCATGCCTCGTTTGTATGACTGTATATATTCAAATAATGTGTGCTTCATATTTGTTTGTGTGGATGGTAACAAAATAGGCTTGAGCAAGTTTCCATCTATAACAACTGTCAGACAATTTGGAGTGTCTGACAACACATCGTCCGCAGTGTTAAGATGCACAAAAGTCATTAGATTTGTTTCACTATCTGTTTTGTTTTAATGATTTTTCTTTTCTTTTGCTTAATGTGTAGCAGTAGCCCGTGTCCTGGGTCAGTCCTGGTGTGTTGTCTGCCTTTGAACAAGAGGTAGATCTTTTTTCCCCACCCGTTGTCATGCTTGTTAAACGGATAAAGCTGTGCAGCAGCCTTCCACACACAGAATAGATTCCCTCATGAAACATGAACGGGGGCTTAAAAGATATTTAAGTAGTGATTACATCAGTTATTAAAAACAAAAAGGATAACACACAGATACAGTGACAGTAGTGTCGAGGCTGCTTCACTGGTTAAGCTTTAGCCGTTTTATTATTTTATTTATTATTTAAGAAGCGATTTATAGGCTGTAAACACAAATTTATGAAACCTACAGCAAAAACTACCAAACCACACTGAGAACGAAGTTAGCTTTCTGACCAGAAAACATTTATTTTCAGAAACAACAGGGAGTGTGGTGTTACTGGTGTGTTGCTGGAGGAAGGTGCTGCAGATATTAATTAAGAGGATCCTCAGTATGTTAACTTAAGGAGCAGCATGCAATCCATATTTACAGCACTTTT